TATATTTATGAATAAAAATACACATCGGTTTTAAAACCTGCAGAGTATTTATGCAGTATTAGATCACCGTTAATGTGATACTATGATACACCTCTATGCTGCCAGACGTGTCCTCTGCGATATCCAGGGCACCATTATGAGCTTTCCTCTGTTGTCCCTTAAAAGGTTTACGTGACAAACCCAGACGAAAGTCCTGCTGAAAACATCCGGCTGAAGGTTTCTTCAAGAAACATATACGGCGATACCAACAACGACGGCCTGGCCAAGCTCACCATCAACACTGGTGGGGGGGCCAATGACCTCAAAGTTACTGTGAGTCACCGTGAACGCAAAGGGGAGTGCAGAAGCAAGGCTTTCTCTAATCACCGGTAACACCAGAATTACCACCCCCCCAGAGAGACCTAGACACAGAGCTGGCCCTGGCCAATGGTCCACTTTCTCTCCAGGGCTGCAAACTTTCCTGACTGTCAAACGTTCAATCTCATCACATTGTTAATTTAATTTTTAAGCAAACCCAGTATACAAACATTCACCCACCCATAAATGTTAATCCAGTTGAGGGTCCTGGTCAGTCTGTAATCTATCCCTGGAAGTATTCAGATCTGACACCTTCGAAAGGTTGAGTCCATCTTTTAGTCTGATAACGTTACAAAAGTTAAGTCTTTTGTCTCACTGTTTTGTCTCATATGGGGGTAACTAATGCTTCCATCTGTGTGTTTTTGGCCAGGTTGAAACAGTCATGGAAGAACTGCAACCAGAGCAACAGGCAAGGAAGAATATGGTGGCCCAGCCCTACCTAACATACCAGAACTCCCAGAACTACCTGCACATCGGGATCCCCTCAACTGAGCTGGCGATCAACACCAACTTGCTCGTAAATCTGAACCTGAAAAACAACCCAGGGGTCCAGGATCAGATCAGTCACTTCACATATCTGGTATGCATATACCACTCTTCCACTCGCATTATTAAAAATAATCAGTTGTATGTGTTTGTGTTTTGAACTGCACATCTGACATACTTAGAATGTTTGTATATAATCAAGGGTATGGTATACACCTTAGATAGTTATATTTAATCCCAGGTATGGTATACACCTTAGATAGTTA